TTTCCCGTTTCTTACATACATCGCCGTTTCTTATAAAATTTTAGCTTTGGGAAAGCATGTTCTGTTTAGAATGAAAAAGGTCCATTTTTCAAGCCAAAATCTTTCCCAAATTTCATCAAATACTTGACGATCAACATGAGCTTTTGTCAGTAATTCAAAGCTGCCCGCATTTCAAAAGTGAGAATTAATGCAACACTCGTTTCTCCCTTCGTACTTCCGTTTGAGGCAAATTCAATCGGTGCAGCAGTCACTTTGAACCTCATAAATTTAAGGTGATGATGCATAAATTCAACCAAGAAATATTAATAAAAAATGTTTAATGAGTTGGTGTTCAAATCTCAACTTTATATATAAGAGACGAGTGATATTTCTGAACCACAGTTTAGGAGAAAAAAAGTGGATTTTCTTCCGTCAAATACGGTAATTTGAGATGGTAATGATTAAGAAGATCATTTTAGAAAAGAATTCAACAGTCTATAAATTTTTTTAAGCGAGTCGGAGCAAAAGAGAGAAGACGAAAGCTGGGAAGAAAAGAGAAGTGGAGACATGAGTAGAGAGAGAGAGAGAGAGTGGGCAAATTAATTATATATGTACATCTGATTCATGAATGAACTTATTTGGTAAGACGACGAGTTATCTAAGGCAAATTCAGGCGGTGGCAACGGTCACTGTAAGATTAAATGAAGATGTCGTTTCAGAAAAAGAATTCGTTAGTCTATAAAAAGCGCCATCAGATTAAAACGAAATTGGTCGTTTCAACTCGGTGATAAAAATGTAAACAGTAAGTTCTTTCTGTGACATCAGCCATACGCCTTCTCGACTGCATTCTCTTATAATATAGTACCTTTCTTTCTTTCTTTCTTTTATTACTAGTTACGATGAAAATTCACGAATATATTTGAATATCTATAGCATCAGTTGTTCTTTTAAGAAACAAAATTTTATGTGTTTTACACACACACACACACACACACATATATATATATATATATAATTATATATATATATAATGAAATGGACAAAATCCGACAATTATTTTAAGACATTTTTATGTTCATACATTCTTTTCATAAATACAAATATTTAAGTAAATGCTCTGTTCATAATAAACAGTATTAAACAACATTTACCGGCCTGAATGTCCTAGAAATGTTCAAAGAAAATATTCGTCCTCCGACAGGAATCAAACCTGTATCCTATACGAAACCGTCATTTAGCCTGATGTGCCTAAACCGATTCGGCCACAGAGGAGCGTTCGGTTCGCAAGGTCGATTTTACTGTTTTTAAACTACAATCTTCCATGATTCTCTCACGTACATTCATATCTGCTCATGCCGTATCCAAATGTAAACAAATGACGTCACACATTATGAAATGGACAAAGTCCGACAATTGTTTTAAGACATTTTTATGTTTATACATTCTTTTTATAGATACAAATATTTAAGTAAATTCTCTGTTTATAATAAACAGTATTAAACAACATTTACCGATTGTTTCAAGACGGGATCGAAATATATATATATATATATATATATATATATATCATTTACATTATTCGGACTGTTGTTCCAATCTTCATTGCCATATTCACAACGTTTCGGCCGTTTTACGCTCTGGCCTTCTTCAGGTGATTGGAATTTCGAATCGAGCCCTTTATTTCGTCCACGGGGGGTAAATTGTTCTAGTTCCATGTATCATACTTCTTCTGGATGCCTCACTTATTTCCCTTTAACTCAACTCTCCTGGATCACCTGAAGAAGTCCGGGGCGTACAACGGCCGGAACGTTGTGAATATGTCAATGAAAATGAGGTAACAGACCGAATAATGTAAATAATGTAAATAATCATAATACCTCATCTCCGATATCTATCTATCTATCTATCTATATATATATATATATATATATATATATATATATATATATATATATATATATATATATATGAGAAGAATTAATGGATTTTATTATTTTAATCCGACATATTTTTATTTCTTCAAACGTTATTTTTAGTGGATACTCGTATTTGAGTAGACGAACCATTTTATTTTAAACAGTATTATTTCGTCTACCGGACTGCACACTCGAGAAAACTTTCTTTAATAAGGCCGGGAGATGAAATAAACATTGTTTAAAATAAAACTCCGGTGAGCCGTCCGACTCTTCCAACTCTCGGCCTATTAGACTTTTACCTCTTTCGGAGAAACTCCTAGAGGCACTAATCAATGCTATATTGATTCATCATCTCTCATCGTAGGGCGTTTTCTCAGACAAGCAATGTGGCTTTTGTTTCTCCAGGTCAACTGCTGATGTACTGACGATATTGGCGGAAAGAGTTTATCACACTCTAGCTAAAAACAGTGAAGCCAGGCCTGTTGTATTGAACATCTCGAAATCCTTTGACAGGGTCTGACATTCAGGTCTCCTCCAAAAGCTGAAACATTACGGTGTCTCCGGACACATTTTTGAACTGATCCATTTTTTCCTATGAAATTATGAAATGATAGTTATCTTGAATGGCCACTCGTCTAGGTCCTTTCGTACTAATGCAGTTGTTCCCAAGGGCTCCTTCACTGAATAAGGTCATTAATGAAACTTAAAGTTTCATTAATGACCTTCGTGGGGACATCAGCTCTCAACTTGGTATCTACACTGACAACACAACCATTTACTCCTGCCTCGAGAGTAAGGCTTATCAGTTTGACAAGAGCAAAATGGCAGCTGATGCCCCAAAACGACTTCAAGTCTGCAGTTAACTAGGGTAAAAGATGGCTTGTTAATTTTAACACCTCCAAAACTGAACTTCTTTCCATTAATCATCTGAAAGACCTCTTGCTACCTTCCATCAACTGATGCTTCCATGACTGATGCTATCATTCAGGAAAGTGACACGTTGCTGATATGAAGTGGAAAGACTATATTGAATCCATTGCTGGGTCAGCTGTAAGAAAGACTTTATCTTACATATCTATAAGTCTACCATTCGTCCATGCTTTGAATATTGCTGTCACATATGGTCCGGTGACCCTGCTATTTACCTTGAGTTCCTTGATAAGATCCAAAGAAGAATCGGTAATATTATTGGTCAAAGTTTGGTGTCTCGGCTCCAGTCACTTTCCCACCCCTGTAAGGTTGCCTCTCTCTCTCTCTCTCTCTCTCTCTCTATATATATATATATATATATATATATATATATATATAATTTTTAATTTTTGAATTCCGTAATTATGCTAACATAACACCTGTTATTGGCACCAAGCCTATTATTACCAAATGTTTGTCTCATTCCTTACAATCGTTCTACAAAAATGTTTATTGAAGGGTCTGACTATAAAAACAGTACTGCTCTTTCTAAGAATATATTTGATCAATGAAAAATAAATAAAAAAATATAATAATATCACTCCTTTAATTTAGTTAAAAGTGTTTAAAACGACCATAAGATATAAAACAAAGCCTTACCAAATGACCAAAGAAAATTAAAAAATAAAATAAAAACCAAAACCCAATAAATCAAGAAACCAAGAGAAAAAAGGAAGCATAAAACTGACACCTACTTATGCAATACTAGAAAGTTTTCGTTTATCTATTTTAGTTTCCTTCCTTCCTTCCTTCCTATTTTAGTTTTGTATCTATTTTAGTTTCGTATCTATCTATCTATCTATCTATCTATCTATCTATCTATCTATCTATCTGTGTGTCTGTGTATAGCCTACAATTGTTCGTGAGATTTCGCAAACCGAGCCCTATAAGGATAATCATTCGAAAATAAAACTATCAAAAGATTTGAAATATTTCCCTGAAAATAGTGGAGAGTCTTAATTTTTGGCGTCTGTTAGTGATCTTTCCCTCAAGTTTGATAACGAGCAAATAATTTTTTCCCCATTCCTATTTGCAGATTATTGGACTGCGGGTCCGAAGACACGAAAGGCGTGTCTTTCCAGTAGGGAAAATTGACGTTTTTATTTTTTCATTTTTTATTAAAGTTGTAAGTACCCGGATGACCACCTCTTTCAGTATAATTGAGCATGACATACATACATCTTTGCTGTCTAAACTATGCTCAGCTATCGGATGTTTGTTAGTGAACTGTCTTTTGGCACAGTGCCAAGTGTGTCTTTGTCAGGGGCGTCACGTACTGATGAAGCACGTATCAAGTTATAGACTAATGTAACCAAAAAATCACCCGAAATCAAGCAAATGTGTAGCATTATAAGTGTTGGTGGATTATTTAGTTAGAGTTGAGCCCGCCTAATTCTGACTCAAAACAACCTGATTGACCTTTTGTTTAATCTCCACGGTAAAGTCGAAAGATTTGTAATGCTAGTTGTAATAGTATTCTAATTATGCAACAAAGCGTGCTATATTCTAATTTGGCTGGTCTGGATGTACTACCGTTACGCTTTTCTTCTTATATAAAAAAATTCATGTTACTTTTTTGCCAGTTGGATTTCGTAAGTGGATGCGTTAAAGCAAGTTACAATAATACCTCAAAATGCATTGAAGTGAATCCTATTTAGAACACCGGAATTAGAGATCGAAATGGAAAGTAAATGATATATCCATTACGCCACAGTTCTGATAGTTGAATAGAGGATGAAATTAAAACTACTAAGTGCTTACTTACATTTTTGTAATTACTTATATTAATTATTTATATTTCCTTTTGATTTTGAATATTAATGCATTAAACATATTTAAATTAAATTTAACATTTTCTTCGAATTTTTAAAAAATTTAACAAAACAGCTATGGCGTTAAAGTTTAAAATCTATCACCGCTTTGATTACATTTTAACAATTTCATTTGAGATATTAAAAACATGGAATAGAACTAAATGCAATAATATTATTTTATGTATGGTGAGTATTTCTATAAAGTTTCTTCCCCTCCTTCATGTATTCAGTGAAGGCAGACAATACATGTAGCTCTGAGTAGAACAAAGAATGAGAAAATCTAGAAAGGACAGATTAAAATGAAGAAGATCAGTGTAAACCCATGGAATGGAGTTTCTATGACTGTCTGTTTGTTTATCTATCTATCTATCTATCTATCTATCTATCTATCTATCTATCTCAGTTTATTCATAAGTCTGTTCATCTATCTATCTATCCCAAATCTGTTTCTAGCGTGATTTCTTAAAATATATATATATATTTTTTAAAATGACCTTCCTAATCTGGAGTCCTGGTTTTCACATATCGATTAAACATTGCAGATCACAAATTAAAAAAATATAATTCTAAGAATGCATGTCGATATTTGTTTTGACTTTTATTTACAACAAATTGACGTAGAAAATTGTCTTCCCCATTAACTATTATGAAAATTAATGATAAAAAATATTCGTGATTTGGCGTACTTAACCGCTATGAAGAAAAATTTTAAAAGTGATTATTTTTGGTCGTAGTGCCTCTTGTACAATTCGGCCACAATTAGTAATAATAACAATAATCGATTTTATAACATTCCCATTTACTCTTATACATTGATTCATTCGGACTTGTTTGCTTTCTTTTTATCACACTTTTTTTGGTTGGAGTCCTCTTCTCGTGGCCTAGTTGATATAAGCGCTCGGAAACCTCATCTTATTTTCTGAAAGTCGTGGGTTCTGGAGTCTGATAGTCTTGAAATATACAATGAGAAAACGGATCTTTATCAAGAAGAACTGATGTGTCTTTCGCAAAGACACCGCATCTAACAGATGAGAAATGAGAACAAAATATCTCCGTGTATAAAAAGTTTTGTTTAAAAAAAAGAAGACCCTGGAGAACGTGACAGACACGTGAGGAAAGCAGGAGTGTATATCCGCCCAAATTCTGGGCGAAACAAAAGTCGAGAATGAATATTTAATAACAAGCCTTCGCCTTAGAAATCCAAGAAAACACATTCGTATTCTCTCACCCATCAATTCATTGCGGATGAATATGTCCCTGATTTGAATATGTCAACATCATTTTCCGAGAACATTTGTAGATTTTTCTTGTTTTTTTTACGTATTCCTTGTCGCTGAAGTTGACAGTAAGCAGGATAATGATTCAAAACTATTCCTTTTCAATGAATCAATACGCATTACTTTCAAAAGCTAGCAAAATCTTAAGAAACAGAAGAAATTTCGTTTGAAACAAAGAAAAGGGCATTGAAAGGAATACTGAAAAGAGTACTAATGCTGAATATACCATGGACTGAACATGTGATCAAATAGCAAGTATTAAGGAAAATTGAAACCAAAAGGACACTTTTACTTAAAACTAGAAGACAGTTGAAATTTCTTGACCACATAAGAATATAGGAAAGAGGGATTGGAGAATTTGACACTCACAGGACATATTGAATTCAAGGGAGAAGATGCGAATAACTTACTGTTATATACCGTACCTATGAACACTAATGGGTATGTTCCAATCCTCATAAATACGTTGGACACTATTGTAAGTGGGGTTAATATGCTGTCTAAATAGTCCACCACTAGCAGTGGTTTACCTATTTCACGTTGTATTTTGTTTATTTTATTAAGATTACTATTTCATTTCCAACCTCTGTTTTAGTTCTGCCTCATTTAGTAACCCTTTCTAGGTCACAACACTTATAGAGTCTCTTAAATGGTCAGTAGAACTGGACTAGATGAGATAGCAAAGAAATAAAACTTACTAAGTTCTACAAAGGTCAGGAAGTTGTAGAGAGCAGTGGTCACTCACGTCCTGAAGGCACACGGTGCAATGAAGAAGATGTCCATCACTTTCTCATTTACAAACTATTTTTATTTTGATTGTCATTTATTTTAACCCATTAATGTCTACCTGGCATTAATAATAAAATTAAAAATTAAAATTAAAATCCTGTATTAATTATAGGTTTAAATAATTTGTGGTGAGTACAAAATGTTACTAAAGCTTTAAAAAAAGGACATTTTAAATGTATATATTCAAATCTAATCAAAGGAATGAAGAGTAACGAAAAGAAAATATTTTATTAATGCTATCAAAACGAGTTGATTAAAATTGTATATATAAAAAAAACAAAAACAGGAGAAGAAAATCTATTCGTAAGGATGCTCTGCCTCCACATCATCAGAGCTCAGTTATCTACAATTATAAATGTCAGTGTGAAGTCTGAATATATAAGTAGAACTAATCAAAAGGAGAGCGTCTATTTTGCTCAATATGGCTAGATTCTAGGTGCTATCGCTGTCAACGGGGATGGAGTTTCAATATAATGTTGCGTTTCAATATAATGTTGCCTTCATCATTGTCTCCAACTGTTTGGATATCGGCGAGCGGAAAATGCTTGTCATTTTGACCGGCAGTAAACCAACATGTTGGAAGTGCGGCATGAATGGTCACCTCGCATTTTCCCACCCAAAGAAGACCTATGGAGTTCCGCATCCACTCGATCAAAATACCCCTCTGCTTGTGACTGTTATATCTGCAGCGCCTATAATGGGCATGCCAAGGACTGGGAGCGCTGTGGATAAACACCCAGTTGGGTCATTATTGGGTGCACCAATTTCCCGGCACTTCTTCGCTGACGTGGAAAAGGGGGAATGGCTGGTCGTTGGTAGAGGTGGAAAGAAGTACTAGACCGCTCCGGAGGCCCCCAAATGGAATGGAATATACAATCTCATTCCCTCTACGATTTCTAAGGGCGATGCCCAGTCCAAAATATCAATTAAGGAGCTATCAAAGAAATATGAACCATCTTTTGAAAAGCAACTAAAAAGCGGTCTCCAGACTAAGCATAAAAAGAAGTCTTCGCCGCTCCCAGCCATTATCATCTCTCCCGTTTTCTCCAACATTCAAAAAATCCATGGCCTACCCCCACTTTCCATATGACTCTTATGAAGAAAACTCCTACACTTTCAACAATTCAAACCATTTCTGTCCCAGCACCCACATCTACCCCTTCCCAATCATATAAAACCATAAGCGTAGTCTGGAGACGGACACACGGAAAAAGAAAAAAAAAGAGTAAAAACTCGATATAAACTCGGGAAAAACATCTGCCGCGTATCCTAAGAATAAACACAAAAGGCTTTGTCAAAGAGCCGCCAAATAAAAATTCTTCAGTGCCTACTTGTTTAAATTAACAAGTTGAGTGCAAAGATGCCGAAAACCCGGAGAATTTTCCGAGGGCAAAGCGAGTGCTCACAGTGGTGCATTCGGGCACAGGTACACGGTAGATATTCGAGGAGGCAAATACTGACCCCAGCAGCATAAAGGAACGACGATCATGCAAAAAAGTTTAAGTAACATTGTTTAAGGAGGTTCTCTCTATTCGTTCACCGCTCCCTGTATAGGGCCTTAATGCTAACTTTCCTCTGGAACATTGGTGGGCTGTCTCTTGATGGATTTGTCAAGATCACAATGGCTCATCTCAGACTTTAGTTAGCCATTAGTCTCTTTACCCCGGCCATGTCAGACAGTCCACCCGAATCGTGTCGATAATGGCTCTCTAGTTAGCAAGTATAGATGCCAGGAGCCTGAGGTCTAAATCTCGCAGGGCGAGGTTCATTCGTGACATTCAGTGTCTTGTAGGTGGATGTATGTTGTGTGCAGGGGTGGGGCCGTTTTTCATCTCGCAACCATGAGAACATTCTGTCGAATGAGTTTCATTTTTACTCAGCATGTTTTGATGGTTGCTCGAGAGATGTTTCCTGGCTGGTAAGCAAGTTTTCAACATGGCAGCCAGACTTTGCGTTCTGGCTGTTACCATAAAGGATAAGGCACTTCAGCTCATTAGGGTTTACGCAGCAATCACCATGCGGAGGAGCCTGATTTGTTACGACAGATCGATTCTTTTTTGTGATGACATCTCGGTGGCTAGTTTCAGTTGGCAATTGGTATACCGTCCTTGTGACCGATTTAGATCGGGTACTAACAACTCGCACTTCATCGGCAAGTTTGTTTATGTCGATAAATATCGAAATTAAGCACTCACAAGAAGTAGTATGGACTTTGACTAATGAGGTCAGCTCAACTATGGTGATGCGTTCTACAGTCCTAGTTAGGCGAATCGATGTAGGATGCTTAGGTTGTCCAAGCTTGACGTTATTCTGGGAGGGGGGCGTCCAAATCGGTGAATTTGTTTTACCCAAGCTAAGTTTCGAAAAAATACGATATAAAATTCATTATTTTTTATCCATAATGTTGAATGTTAAAATTATTCAACTTTTTAATAAGGAAAATCTCAAGTTGATGTTAAAAATGGTCGCAAAACATTGATTTATTTATTTAAGAAGGAATCATCTCTTATGACATGTCTCTAATTTGTATTTAGATACATTGGATTTATTTTATAATTTTCTAGTTGACTTGTTCACTGATATTGTATATGGTCCATTATTGTTTATAATTAAGTTACAATAAAATTTGTATTTTATCTGAATAGGATCCTATGAAAACTGAGATGTAGTAGAGGTGGGGTGGTGGCATATCATAGATTTGGAGGTATAATAGATTCTGAGGAGCACATCGTACATAGTCCCTTGCACCGATCCTATATATATATATATATATATATATATAAATGTGTGTGTATATATATATATATATATATATATATATATATATATATATATATATATAAAAATACATATATATGTGTGTGTGTGTGTGTAATATATTATATATATAAGCGTTCAATATCAGAGATAGAGCTAAAATATTTGGTTGGATTGATGTGACTTTTGTGAGTTTGAGTTTCACGCTTTTGCGATCGTCAGACAAACACAAAAGCGTGAAACCCAGGCTCACAAACTCACATCAATCCAACTATATATATATATATATATATATATATATATATTTATATAAATTTACACGTTTCTTCTCGACTGACTCTGAAGAGTGAGGAAGGAAAATAGGTTAGAATCTTTTTTAGTATTTTCTTGCTTTTTTGCTGCTATTTTTTTTTATTCACCTTTTAAAAGGATTTCTTTTATTATGCTTGACGACCCACGCACCCTGTTTGTTTTATATATATATATATATATATATATATATATATATATATATATATATATATATATAAAGTCATTTTTATGTTTATACATTCTTTTTTTACAAATAAAAATGTCTTAAAATAATTGTAGGACACTTTGTCCATTTCGTAATGTGTGACGTCATTTGTTT